GTAATATGGAAGTTTCTCAAAAAACAAAAAATAGAACTACCCTGTGATTCAGCAATCCCACTTCTGGGTATATATCCAAAGGAACTGAAAGCAGGATCTTAAAGAGATATCTGCACTTCCACGTTCACTGCAGCCGTATCTACAATAGCCAAGATATGGAAACAACCTAAGCGTCCATTGACAGATGAATGAATAAAGAAAATGTGGCACATACACACAATGGAATATTATTCAGTCTCAAAAGAAAAAAAAAAGGAAATCTGTCATTTGGAACAATGTGGATGAACCTAGAAGACATTATGCTAAGTGAAATAAGCTAGGCACAGAAAGACAAATACCACATGATCTTACTCCTGTGTGGAATCTAAAAAAGTCAAGCACACAGTAGAGAATAGAATGGTGGTTACCATAGGCTGGGTGCTGCCAAAGAGATTGGAGAGATGTTGGTTAAAGGGTACAAAGTTTCAGATAGGCAGAGGAATAAGTTTTTGAGATCTATTCCCCAGCAGAGTCACTACTATCAATAATAATGTATTAAATATGTTTTTAAAAAGCTAAGAGAGTAAATTTGAAATATCTCACCGTACAAAACAACAAGTGATGTGATGAATATGTTAATTAACTTGATTTAATCATTCCACATTATAGATATATATGAAAACATATTGTACACAATTATGATTTAGCAATTAAAATAAATTAATAAAAAGCATTAAATCAGTAGACGTCTAGATGTCGAGGAAAGCAGAAGACCCTCCATAATGTGGGTAACTAAATCCAATCAGTTAGAGCCCTTAATTGAAAAAGACTGACCTCCCCAGAACAAGAGGGAATTCTGCCTTTTGTCTGCCTTTGGACTTGAGCTATAACATCGACTCTTCCCTGGGTATCCTGCCAGCCTGCCTGCCCTGCAGATTTCAGACTTGCCAGTTCTCACAATTGCATGAGCCAATTCCTTAAAAAATCTCTCTTTCTCTCTGTTCATATATATTATATATAATATTAAATCTACACACACACACATATATTCTATTGATTTTTTACTCTGGAGAAGCTCTCTCTCTCTCTCTCTCTATATATATATATATATAAAATGTTATTATATATTATAGTATTATATATACTTATATATATAGAGAGAGATACACATATACATACACACGCGCGCGTGCACACACACACACACATATATACGTATATGTATGAGTAAGTATTTTATCTGGAAGTAGATCATTGAGCTATCCCAAACCTTTGTAAACATACATTTAATACAGCTCATGTTCTGGGGAAAATTTCTGTGAGCAGAACATGGATTTTATCTAGAAACAGTGTTCTATTGTCCACTATTGATCATTAGAACAGTTTTCCAAAATCCCAATGCACACAATATTATTTTTAAATAGTCAAAAGCACTCTGTAGGTAATGTGCAAGTATACTGTATAATGGAATGGTTTTTGCAGCAGTATACAAGAAATATATGTACTCATGGAATCATAGAAACTATAAGTGGAGAGAAAACTTAGGTTCTGGCATAATTCCTCTCACTTATATCTGAGAAAACAGGGGACTGATGGAGGCTTGGGACTTATGGTTATGAGCTTCCCAAAGTCATCTGTGGCAAGCAGTGTGGCAGCCTCCTGAGAGCGGGGAGCTGTCCAGAGCTGCAGAGACCCCGAGCGGGGCCTGGGTAGGGTGTGGAAGCTGGGCTGGCTCCTCAGGCACACAGCCAGGCCAAGCCACAGACTTGCCATGGGCTGGAGGGAGCAGCAGGGGTGGGGCGAGCAGGCCAGCACCACTCTGGATTCATCAGTCACATCAACATTAAATGACATTTAAAATTTTATAATTGCTCTCAGCCATAAATACTTACTGATAGGGAAAAAAAAGCATGATTTGTAATTTATGCCATGATATTTAACTATCATTTTGATACATTAAAACAAATATTGAAAAACTAGGCATCTGTAAATGAATAGTGTGTGCGTACTTACCTATGAGCTAAAGTTCTGCTAGAAGTCTGAACCTGGGAATTCTTTGAGGGGGAGAAGAGGCCTCGGGATAAAGAGGAGAGCTAATCATTACCGGATGCCTTGTCTGGGCCACAGGCTCCCTATTGATGACAAAAATCAATAAAAATGAAAATCTCAAAGAAATAGGTATTATTATACCTGCTTAGAGATTGTGAAAATTGATCCAAAAAGGTTTAAGGCCATGGTCCGCAAACCCCAGCCATGGACCGGCACTGCTCCATGGCATGTTAGGAACCAGGCTGCACAGCAGGAGGTGAGCGGCAGGTGAGTGAGCGAAGCTTCATCTGTATTTACAGCCGCTCCCCATCATGGCATCACCACCTGAGCTCTGCCTCTGTCAGATCAGCGTGGGCATTAGATGCTCACAGGAGCTCGGACCCTACTGTAAACGGTGCGTGTGAGGGATCTAGGGTGCGTGCTCCTTATGAGAATTTGTCCAAAACTTTACCCCCCACTCCCCGTCAGTGGAAAGATTGTCTTCTGTGAAAGCGGTCTCTGGTGCCAAAAAGGTTGGTGATGGCTGGTTGAAGGAATTTACCCAGGTTCTTAGAGCTAGTGGAGGCAGCTCATTCCTACTGAATGAGGCGTGCCAGCAAAAGGCCACCTGCCATCCTCTCTCCATTGCAGGGCTGGGAAGCTTGTCCTCTAAGGGACGGGGAGCATGTTGTTAGGCTTTGTGGGCCATAAGGTCTCTGCCACTACTCATTGTAGTGAGAAAGCAGCCTTATATAAGTAATATAAAAATGAATGAGCATAGTTGTGTTCCAATGAAGCCCTATTTCTAAAAACAGGAGGTGGAATGGATTTGGTTTACTGGCTGTAGTGTGCAGACCCTGATCTGTCTCCTTGTCTTTGCAGATGACTGACATCAGCTCCTATGCGTCTATCACTGCGTGGATATATCTTGCACATGCGAATGCTGGGTAAACTCCAGCTCGTGGATAGCGACATTGTCAGTGTCTGGCCTACTCTGTGTTCACAGTTTAGCATGTAAGGCTGTTACTCACTTAAGCCTTACGTTGAACAGAGTACTTTTTCCTTTAGTCGAGGCATTGTTCAGCCTTACGTTGGACTTCCAGAGCACGAAGTAACCTCAGTGGGGTTCCAAGTGTCTTTATTTTCAAAGTGATTTGTCTTTCAGACGCTTAGCATGAATTCTCCAGGGCTGAATTCTCACTGAACATTGCATGAGGATGGGGCAGTGGCTGCAGTTGTCATCGTGGCGCTGGGAGATGCCTGACTTTGAGTTATAGAAAGTGCAGCAAAACTAGACAGGCTGCCCCGGGGGACAGGACAGACAGGGACGGAAGGGGCATAACCAGATGGGCAGGAGGAAGCATTCGCTTCTTGTCAGCACCTCTTAAAAAAGGGTGTACTTTAAGGTTTGGGGGAAGAAGGGGAGCAGGGCCACCACCAGGCCGTTGAACTATGAGATATATGTGTCGGACAACCTTGTTTGGTGGCTTTGAACAATGATGACAAAAAGTGTTTACCTTTGTTCAGTTATTATCAGTCTTTGGAGTGAGTCAAGAGAGAGACTCATAGAAAAAAAGATGGTATTTTACCCTTTGGGTGTGAGAAAACCAGCAAGCATCTAACTCCACGTTTCATCCAACTTCAGTTTTCCTGAGTCTCCTGACGGTCCAGTCCTTTTGAGCAAAACAGGATGGGCCACCCCTCTCGTTGACCTCATGTGCATACATTGTTCTCATCAACAAAAGGGGGCTCAGAGGTTAGCGTGGCCCTGCCGTGCAGAGCCCACGACTGCCTTGCACAGCAATCAGCGTTCATCCGAGCAGGGGGGCACAGCCCCAGCTCTGGGCACCCCCCTTTCCTCTGGCCACAAGGCAGATTCGGTCTGACTTTGCTCTCTGCAGCTGGAATTCTCTGATGTGAGGTGGGGACTTGTTTTCAATAGCCAGAGTGACAGTGATAAATCTTTCCTATTCACAAGCCGGTCGTTTAAGGGGCTTTGAAGGCACATTGTAAATCACGGGGAAACATTCACCTTTCAAAGACTTCCATATTGAAGGAAGGATCTGTCTTTGGTTTAGAAGATCTGTAGGAGATTTCTGTTTAATAGTAATATCAAGAACAAAATAGTAAATAGTGTTGTGTGCTAACATTGACGCAGTGATGTGCGAGGCACAGAATTAGACTTGCGCTTGTTAGCTAGGGTTGGCTTCGAGAAGGAAAGCAGACGGGACATGGAGAGTGTGTGTCTGGGTATGTGTGTGTGCTTGCGTATTTTGGAGTTGGTGTTGGAGAGGTTGGAGAGGTGTTATGCATTAAACTGTGCCCTGCAAAATTCACATGTTGCAGTGCTAATCCCCAGTGGCCCAGAATGTGACCTTATTTGGAAATAGGGTGGCTGTAGATGTGTTCAATTAAGGTGAGGTCACACTGGAGAAGGGTGGCCCTATCCGATATGACTGGTACCTTTATAAATAGGGGAGACTTGGCCACAGGCATGTGCACACAGGGAGAATGCCATGTGAACATGAGGATATATAAAGGTGACACTTGACATGCCAAGGGACACTGATGACTGTGAGCAAACCCCAGAAGCCAGGACAGAGGCCAGGAGCAGATTCCTCTCACCACCCTCAAAAGGAAGCAACCTGGCTGACTCCTTGGTCTGGGACTTGTAGACTCAGGACCCAGGAACAGTGAACCTCTGTGGTTTAGGCCTCCTAGTCTGTGATGCTTTGCGATGATAGCCCCAGCAAACTCATGCAGGGGCACTCTGTATAGTATATACACACCTGGGTATGTGTTTATACACATGTATGAACACATGCATGTATGTGCACCATGTGCACATGCACACAGTCCATAGTGTGTCTTCTTACTGTGTAAAGAAATCTTTCCCTGCCCCCACCACACCCCAAAGCCCTTGGTGGCCCCTTCTATGTAGGAGGCAGCCCCAGTCCGCACGCTGATGCCTGTTCCTCTGGCCATTTGTACAGGTAGAGTCCAGCCTCACCTCTCCGGAGTCTGCTTTCCATCCTGCCTTCGCTTTCCATCCTGGCCAGCCCCAGTGACCAGACACCTGGAAACTTGCGTCTTCCTGACCTGTGTCCTTCTGGAGCTCCTCTGACTATTGTCCCCATCAGTTAAGCATTGAATGTTTGATCCCAGTCTTCAAAATAGTTCAGGTTCCTGAGGAGGAAGTTACAGGACACAGGCAGGGATTCCACCTGAGTGTGAGCAGCAAGAGGGCATGTATGATGCAAGTGACCCCTGTGTGTTAAGCACAGGTACACACCTGAGATGCCTAGGCAGAGGTCGATGCTATTTGGCCTTTATATATCAGTAGGTTTGTTTTCCTTTTGAGCTTCAGCAAAGCCTCCTGCTGGGCATGAATATTTAAAACAAAACCCACTTGAGCACCTAAAACCATCTTAAGGTGGGAATTGGTTTTCTTCCTCACATTAGATAGCTTCGTGTTGGCCATAGTGATTTGGACATCCTCCTTCCAACCAAAGAAGAAAATAACCCATTCTGCTAACAGCCAAGACCACATCGATGTGCAGTTGGGTGTAAGAGTGAGTGTGTTCAAAGTCTGATTCCATGGACGTGTCTGTCTTCCTTCACAGAGAACACCTTGCTGGGAACATGTTCCGTGTGTCTGCGGTTACCTTGACCCTGTGAATTTGATAGTGGGGTTGGCAAATAACTAGAGCATTCTGGAAGCCTGAAGTCATCAGGCATCAGAAAGGAAGGGGAGCTGCTGGCGTGTGGCACACGATTAAGGAGGACTGTGTGTGCCGCCGGGGAGAGACAGCTCCAGGTGGGGCCTGCAGAAAGGCGGCACTGTAGAAGCCAAGCTTTGGGGCTCTGCCACATCCTGCTTGGAAATATCTGCTAGCTGCCCCTGCCTTCCTTGTGTTTAAAGCCATCTCCTTTTCAGGATGGCTTTGCTGTGGCCCTTCTGGTCCAGACAGTGGTCCTGGGGCCCTGCCATGTACCGGAGGGTACTTGGCAGCATCCCTGCCTGTGCCCACCAGATGCTAACGGCATCCCTCTGGCTCTCCCTGTCACGATCATCAAAAATCTCTCCAGATATTGCCACACATGCCTAGGGGAGGCAGAATCATTCCTGCATGAGAACCACTGGGCCAGATAAAATTAAATACACATCTTATTGCTCAGACCTCAAAGCCTGTGCTTGAGGGAAATGAAGGAAGGAGAAAGCCCAGAGAAAGTGCAGGTGTAGGAGGGTTACCTGGAGAGGAGAGAGTGTGCCAGGTACGACACGGTCTGCTTAGGTCGAGGAGTTGTCTCATCTGGGGACTGAGTGGCTGATTACGGGCTCAGGGCTCATTACTTCTAAATTGCTGTCTGTCACTGCTCATTAGAAGAGTTTTCATTTGAAATCTGTTTCTGGGTTTTTGCCCTCTTGCAGAGAATACTGAATGAGGTCACAGGGATTAATGGCCACTAAAAGCTGTTCTGTTCCAATATTGCTCCAAGGAAAACTAATCACCATGTTTTCTGAATCAAAACCCTGAAATAAAAACACTAGAATTAACAGGTCACCTCCAATCAGATGGTCTCATGAAAGGTGCCAGCACCAAAATGGAGTCACTTATGTCAACACCCTAGCAAAACGCACTCAGGAGGCTGTGAAAGAAGGAGTGTGTGCACATGCCCGTGGCCTGCCTTATCACGGGAAGTGCCACATGCCCCACATGCCCCCTCGCCCACGGGTCCTATATATGCTGTTCGCACCTTGTTGCAGGACTTATCACAAGAACCCTCTCTGGACTGCAGTGGTCCAGAGAAGCTGCCCGCTCAAGGACACTGACCCACAGCAGCTGACTCCACCAGCGAACCAACACCAGCTCCTGTAACGGACTTCTGGGACCTGTGGAGTTTGTTTCAAAACAGCTCACGTGGACTTCTTTTTGCCTATGAAAGCTTCTCCTTGGTCCTGACCTTCGTGGATATGCCTGTGATCTGCCATAGCGGCTACATCCCACGTCACAACCCCTCCGCTATTTCTGAATAAACTTTATGCTTTGGAGACTCGGTCTCTCTGTTGCTCATTTTAGGTTGACAAGCTATGCGGAAATCTTTCAATGGACCTTCATGTTCTTTTTTGAAAACATCCTTGGCAGGCTAGTGTCAAATAGATCAATAAGGCATGCCAGCAGAATCTTTCAATTCAAAATGTTATAAAGTTTTAATCAAAGTCTCTGATGGGAGAGTCTCCTCTGCCTTGATTTCCCCTCTGTGGTGGTTCCAAGTTGAGCCTGTGGGGTGGGGTTGGGCTTCTGCACATTCCTCTCAAACCGCACTCCTTCATGTGGGCAGTTTGGAAGTTTCCCCTGTTACCTGCTGGGTTTGCTGTTCTCCATTTAGCCTATGGCTTCTATGCTTTCAACCAACCATTCCACATTGTGTTCCCATGTTTCATCTGCCGTCATTTTCCCAAACCTCCGCAGGGCCTGGTATCACTGGGTGTGACTTGAAATCCAGCTCAAGTCCCCATCCCAACCTTGCCTTTTCTTCCTCCTTTTAGGGAGATTCTTTCCAATTTGTTTTCTTCTATGATGTTTAAACATCGCCTCTGCTCCAAGTCATCCTATCAACTCCCTTCTGCTGTGCTTTACACCTGGGCTCGTAAGCATACATTCTTCATTGGTCTTTGTCTATTTCACAGTAGCCAGTGAGCCAACAAGGGTCAGGAGACCCGAGTCACGTCCTCCTTCTGCCATAGCCAGCCCTGTGACCCTGCTCAGACCACAGGGCGGGTCTCGACCGCATTGCTTCATTAGAAAAGGAAGTCTGGTGCTCTCTGTTCCTGAGGGGTAGTTAGAAGATTATAAGAGGATACATTTAAAAATGCTTTGTGAAATTGAGGTATAAATGGAAAGTTTCGTCTATAGTTCCTTCTACTTACCTTGTTTGGTGAGTTGATCGCAGACTTCTTCTATTACTCTGTCTGGAATGTTTTCTTTGTCCTATTCAATTCTAGCATCATCTACATTTCTCCCTATTTCCCATTTCTCATGTGTTCTGTGCACTATTCTTTAAAGGGTATGAAGGTAAATGCAAACTCTAGGACCTCGTCTCTCCAAAATAGTCCAGGTACTGCTGATCTAGTTGGACCCAATGCCTTTCAAGCCCAAGTGTGCACCTGACTCAAATGGATGTCCTCCCTTCTGAGTAGGAAATTTCCCTGCCTGGTGTCTGCTCCCCTCCATTCCTAGTGGGATAGTCACATCATGAAAATATACCACCATCTCCCAGCAACTCTCTCCTCCTCTTCCCTCTCATTCTCATGTGTCCCTTTTTGGGAAACAGATAAGAGGAAAGAGGGGCAAGGGGGAGGAGAAAAAGAGCGATTCAATCCTGTCTGAGAAAATAAGGCAGCACGCAGCCCAGACATGGCCAACTGGGCTCCTCCGTGTCCCTGGAGCGCCATGCAGGACTGGTCCGCAGGAAGGCTGGAGGTGTCCCCACCAGTGCAGGGTGGGGACTGGTGGCAGGCGAGCTGGAATTCCTGCCTGCCCTGTCCAACTTTGGTTAGGTTTCTTCTTTGGGGTTGTTCATGACTCAACTGTATAACTAGCTTCCTGGTACCTTTTAGTCTTCTGTACTTTGATGCTGAGAAAAAGAAGTATTTTATTATAGCCTACCTCTATTCCGTGAAAGGATCATGGTGAGGAAACTCTGTGGGCCTCCCCTGAGCTGCAGCACACATCTCAGAATAGGAGACATTGAAAGCTGAGGGATTTCATTGTATTTCACATTCTGCGTGGCAATGGCCCTGCTTTCCTTTCTCCACCTGCTGTGCAGCAGTCACCGCTCTGAGTTCACAGGCAAAGGCACCGTTTGCATCTCAGCGAAACTTCACAGCTCATGTGGCTTTGATGACATGCCTGCCACAGTGGAGTCTTTTCAGGGTTGTTTCTTCTCAGGGGAACAGAGAAGAAGGGCTGTTCCCCAAGTCAAATGGAGCATTCTTTCTCTCCTTGGTGTTGTTCCTACCCAGGGGGCTTGAGAGGACTTTGTTAACCAGCATAATTCGGCTTGGAGACCAGTAACTTTATTTACGCTGGATGGTTTCTGCCACTTTTTCCTACACGTCATCTCTCAAGGTACCTGCTGAGAGATGACACCACCCAGTCGGGGTACAGGGTCCATCCCATCATTTCAGCTGGACTCTCAGAGGCACACGTGTCAGGAAGCACTGTCCCTGCAGGGCCATCACATGGGAACGGGGTTTTCAGGCTTTCTCAGGGAGCTAAGCTTTTTCATCTTTGGGCTAAAAAAGGAAAAAAAAGGTAGCATTACATTTTCCAACTTGCAATTAACTTTAAAACTGCAAAAAGAAGGAGAGTCGCTATTCTGCAAAGTTGGATAAAGAGAAAAGGAAGATATAATTATCCTCGAGGTCTGACTGAAGTAAATGAGAGCAGAGTGCAGGCGTGAGCAGGAGCTTCCCGGCTGGAGACGGGATCCTCCAGCTCTTCTGGAGGGGAATTTGGCAAGAGTACAAAAGTCTGGGAATTTTGCATGTCCTTCACCCAGTGATTCCACATGTAGGAAGTTATCCTGAGGAATAATCACGGGTCAGCTTGTTCATTAAGCTATAAGTATGTTTATAATGGTGCTCTTGAAAATAAAGAAATATGAAAACTTAAACATAAAATGTCTGACTTGTAGTAATGTTAAGTCTTGCAGAAATTATTCCATTTATTAAGTAAAACCCAAAAGTTTCAAAAGTAGTATACACAGATGCAGTAATCAAAAGAGTGTGGTGTTGGCATAGAGACAGATAGATTGATGAATGGAATAGGATTGAGAGTCCAGAAACAAACCCACATTTCTGTGGCTAATTGATTTTCAACAAAGGTGCCAAGACCATTTGATGGGGAAAGAGTTGTCTCTTTGATAAGTGGTGCTGAGACAACTGGGTACCCAAATGCAAAAGAATGAAGTTGGACCCCTACCTCACACCATATACAAAAACTAACTCAAAATGGATCCACAACCTAAATATAACAGGTAAAACCAAACAAATCTTAGAAGAATGTTTAAAGGTAAGTCTTCATGATCTTAGACTTGGCAATAGATTCTTAGATATGACACAAAAAGCATGAGCAAAACCAAAAGAAACTATAGATAAATTAGACTTCATAAAGTTAAACACTTCTGTACCTCCTGCGGGGGGCATCCTCCCCCCTCCTCCCTCCTTCCTCTCTGCCTCATTCCTTTGGCTCCTGCCCCTCGTCAGCCCAGGCCCTGTAAGATACCCCACTGCAGGGACACTAGACATGACGTGTGCTGCTGCACAGCCTCTGAGGTCCAAACATCCTCAGGGGTATTGAAGCCACTGACTGGGCTCCATCATTATAATGTGTTGTCCCTCACTGTTCCCTGACATCCCAGGGCCTGCTTCTGCCCTCATGCCTTGGCGCCCCAGGGACTTCCCACCTTCTGTCCACACAGCTGAATGCCACATCCTGTAGGGACTGCCTCAATGCTCCTCCCTCTGCAGGGGCTGTGGCTCCCCAACCCCTGCTGCCCCTGCCTGGTCCCCTTGGCCCTGCTCACCCTGCCTTTCTGTGACTTCCAGGGACTCCCAGCCCCCCCGTGCCCCAGCATGACTGAGCGCAGCTGACAGCCAAGGCCTAGGAAGACTGAATGATGGGCTTCTGCTCCCTGTGAGACTTGGTGCTGGGGAGGGGTCACACTGTCCTTAAAAAGCCAACAGCACTTTTTCTCTTGTCTGACGCTCGACCTAGAGCTTTGAGAGAGAAAACATCACCCCTTGAGCCACGTTAAACCCACGTTTCTCTGAGTGTGGAAGGAAGCCAGGTGCTGAGATGAGGCGGCGGAGGCACTGCAGGTGTCAGGGTCCGTGGGCACTGGAAACTCGGGTGCCGAGCACCAGCTTCCCTTCTGAGGGAAGCCCGGGTATTTCACTTCTTGATGAGGGTCACAGGAGGTCATGAGAGATTGGCTGGAACTCTGGGCCCACGTGCCGGGCCTGAGGTCAGCTAAGGTGCAGCCGGAGCCAGCAACTACTGACCAAGACACGGAATCTCCTTCTGCAGTGGCAACAGTGACTTCCTAAGGACTGAGGTTGGATGAGGGGGTTCTGAGACCTCCAGGACACAGGCAGTAGGTGGGGCTCGCAGCCTGCAGCACACCCCTGCCTGGGGCCTTGCTCACACCTGCCCACCTGCAGGTCTGTGCTGCAGCCACTCGAGCCTCCAGCCACTGTCTTTGGCCACCTGTCTGGCTGGTGGGTCACACTGTGGCTCTGGCAGGGGGTCAAGCAGTGAGGACTGAGCTAGCAGAAAGGCTGGAAAGGGCCCAAGGCTATGTGGGCAAGGAATTCTGGGGCTTTGAGGCTCTGCAGAATGTTCCAGAAGCAGCATGCCCTGGGTCCCAGTAGGCTCTACAGCCTCTTCATTCTGGAAAGACTCAGGTGGCTGGAGGAGGGACAGGGGAAATCTGTGAAGTGCAGGGCCAGGGGCAAGTGTGACAGATGTGCTGCCAGCACTTCGAGGAAAATGCCAGAGACAGGGACAGGAGCTCAGGAGCCCACCGTGCTGGGAAGGAGAGAGCCTGGCAGGCCCCCGCTTGGGGAGGGGCATGCCGCTGCTCCCTCTACTCAGCCCCTGGTCTGCTGGAGATGCCAGCTGAGGCCAGAGGGGCCACCTCGGCCCTGCCCTGCCAGCCCCATCAGGTCCAGCACGGCGCTGCCCACCCACTCCCACCCTAGCTGGTGCATGGAGAGCACCTAGGACCCAGGCTGGGGCAGAGCCTGGCAGGCTGTCTGCTGGCTCCACTGAGTCAGAGGAAGCAGGAGTTGCCAGGAGTCCCCAGGGAGCCTGGAGCCGAATGTCCCTCTGCTGTGGGCCGTGGTGGGGAGGCCAGCTTCTGGGCAGCAGTGGGGAGAGACCTGCCACTGAGTCCTGCCCAAGCCGCATCTGGGGCCTTCTGCTTCAAAGTAAGGATCCTTCACTTACTTGACAG